GAAATGGTAATAATTTGGGATTCGATTGAGAATACATGGAATAGTTACATTGTGAGTAAGAAGAAAATAAATTTAAATTAGTGTTTTGATGGATTTCAAGTTCAGTCATCCTTGTGTTGGCGGAAGAACTTCGATAATCATTGTTCAGTATCAAGCGAAAGTTACTGTTCTTACCTTCGCATTTAAACGGAAAGTGTCGATTTCGATATTATTAGTTTTCATTGAATTAAACTATTTTATAGTTGAAATTATGCTTTGATATTATTTGAACTAGATCTGGCTTATTACATGACATAGAAACACTGGAGTATGATCATTTGTTCATACATGATACCATGCGTAAATAATCTTGCATGATCACTGAATAACGTTGATGTTTTGCTCTCATTATGACATGTATGATAAACGTAAGGATATTTTGGAACAAAAACGGAATGCGATCAAATTAGTAGCAAAATTGCCTCTAACTGATTATAAAGAGTTATTAATATGTATCTTGTAGTTTACTTTGTCTCGAAAATCTTGAACATTACTAGGATCGCTGATTGTTCAAACAAATGTATTAAATATGTTGATTCATTTATTCAAGATGCAATAGTATTTTAAGATGGACTTCTGTATTAATGTATAAATTGGGCAATAGTTGTTAAACAGGGTGAGTCAAAAACGTAACACAAACAAATGTTAATAACTCAGTCATCCACCATGGATTTAGGCCTAAAGTCATGATCCATACGCCTACCGTACCGTTTACTCTACCCGGCCAATTCGTTAATGTTTTCAAGGACACAGTACATAGTTTCAGTAGTTTAGTGTATCTAAAATTAGTAGTAGTTATTCCTCGCTATCAATTCGAATGAAACATGACAGAACATGATGCCCGACTGCTTTAACGTAACACGTCACTAGTAGGATCGAAGTGCGTTTCATCATGGGCTTTCATAGTTGAAAGCCCATGGTTTCATCTATCCGAATATGGAGTTAGATCGTTATGTCATGTTTCCAAGAACATGCACGTGAGAGAAGGTGAAAACTACCTTCGTGTGGTGTATCTCAGTAATCTGGGTTATGAAAACTTTCCGTCTTTCCTTTCATCATCTAAATCCATGTCACATGGCAGGGGCGTAGGAAGGTGTAAATTCAACACTACGCCAAAAATCCCCCCAAAAATATGAAACAATTGTGTCAATATTCTATATCAAAACGCCTATTTTATGCTCGTAAAATGTCATTTTATGAAAAAAGAGATTTTAAGCTTGCAATGTTTTTCACAACCTAAATGTGAACGGAAATACTTAAGCGATGCATTTATATGGGCGATTGGTCATACGTATAGGTTGGCGTTTCGATTTTATATGCAAGCTTTAAATCCCTGATACCTTTTTAATGTGCTTTAAAATGTTCGAATGATTTTCATCATTTAAAATCACCTTGGAAAGCCTATCTTTTAAATCTCGACACAAATCATTCTCACTTTGCTAATGTCTCGAACGATTGAGACGACCAATTTCCAAAACAATAAGAGATTTTTTAATAATTTTCGAATAATTGAATTTAGATATATAGTATTGTCTGATTCCATCGTGTACCGTGCAATACAATACGTACAGATTAAAGAAACTAGTTTGATCAATTGATATGAAGAAACGCATTCGTGATCAATGAAACAAATAAACACCCCCGCAACAAAGGTCAAATCGAGGTAAACGTGACTTAGGGGGTGCCAAAAATGTTATAAAACAAGAATCTTTTATTTTTCAAATGAAAAAAAATAGGCAATCGCTTTTCTAGAACTGAAATCAATGAAACGTGTTATTGAATAATCAGCATTTTCAAGTTGTTTTTGTCTTTAACATTCATATTTCAAGAAGTTCTACTAATAACAATTAGTGATTTAGTAAGAAAATAGATAATTGCTGACTTAACTATAATTTCTGTCTATGATTTTGCATAGCAACGGATTATAAATCGATGTAGTGAAATTGAAAAATTGGGGTAGGGGAGAATAAAAAATATACATCTTTTAAAGAGGTTCATCATTATAATCATATGATACCATAGTTTGCATAAGCATTACGGAACATGCAGAAAAAAAATTCGTGAAGAGAACGCGATTCACGAATATTTGGCGAAATTGTATTTTACTTTTAAAATTCATAAGATAGTCAATAGTGGCTCGATTTTCATGAAATAAAGGATGTTGGTAAGGGAATTCAATCTGTTAAATGATATTTGCCAGACAGACCAATAATGATATGGTATCCACAAAACATTTCTTTAGGCTAGTGTGCTCGAGATTACTTTTACAATTTATGAACAATGAGACAATATGACTAAAGAACATAGGAAAATTAATAAGTCTTTTTTATTCTCACTTTTCAACACTACGCACTGGCGTTTTGGCGTACATTGTTCCTACGCCACTGACATGGTATCCGAAAGAAGGAACATCACGTAAATCCACAATTACTGTTTTTAAACAATAAAAGCTTGTAAATATTTTTCCAACAACAGGCCCTTTTACAAGACACAGTTTCCTGAAGTCATATCGACGCTACAATTACGAAATGTTTTGGAGTGGTCCATCTTCAGTAGTTTTGAATTGAATGAGTAAGTAAGCCGTTTCCCTGGCCGTTTCTTGGGTATCAAAGTGAGGATGTCGTATCCGATCAAATCTACACTGGTCGCAATAGTACGATGTCGTTCAAAGCAAATGTCACTGAGATTATTTTGTCTGGCGTAAAGAGCACGGTGTTCCAGGGAAACAATTTTATCCTTTATATTTGTGTACTTCATCAGCAGACAGATTTTTCAAAGGAGTTGGACTAAATGTATAAGCTTGCTTTATTTCTCTTTTTGTAGACATGTTTTGCTGCTTTTCCATCTTGCTAATTCATCAGATGGATCTGGAAATAAAAATTGAAATTAAAAAAATTATCATACACAGGGAATATAATTGATAATGCACGCAAATGTCCTTTCGATTTTTAGATATTTTCCTAAACATGATATAAACGGGACATTTTATTTGCCAACTTTTTCGGATTTGCCGACAACTGGAATTGATGGTGCGTGCAGAGGTTACAGCAGATTTTACCTTATTTTCCTAAATATGACATAAATAGAACATTTTCTTTCCAAAATTCTAAGCAAATTAGCAAGTTTCGTAATTGCGGAAAACTTGAATTGGAAAAACATTTTTCGCATATAAAACATATAATTGATCTATAAAAAAAAACATATACAGAGACTATGATTGATGGTGCGTGCAAATGGGATACTGTTTTTCCTTATTTGCCCATATCATGACGTATAAAAAGACATTTTCTTACCAAAATCAAAGCACGTAGAGATGAATATGAATCCAATATGGCGCTGTAGTGTTGTAACGATGTGACGTCACAAGTAATCTTTTGGTAGTTACAGCTGTGACGTTTTTCAATTATCGGAGACAGACATAGAACAATCGGAGACATGAGTTGCCATTCCCGTGGTTTAGTATTCCCAGATGGAACCGATATATTGAGAACATAAGAACCAAGTGTCAGAATTGAACACATATTGAGTTGGATCACCGCAATTGAGGGAAAACTGTTTCAAATGACAGGAGCTTACCAGCATATCAGAAAAAATAACAACAAATAACATCATACGAGGGTCAGATTTATATGACTAAGGCCAAGGGAAAAGTAATAGTAAGCTGTATATAGAAGAGACAGTCTCTTCTATATACGGCCTACTTTTACTTTACCCTTGGCCTATGCTCACCAGCGTCAATAAAATTGAGAGTGCATCTTGTCCTTGAGCCAGGCAGCCAATCAGATTCAAAGCTGATTGTCAATTTCTTTTAGAATTTTTAGAACCACCATTTAGAAAGCTCCTTTGGTCACGTAACCAGGAAAACATTTCAAGCAAAAGTTCGCGGTTTGGACCATGGACTTTCAAAGGCCATGTTTGGACCAATTTCGGAGAAATTGAACGTATCAAAAATCAAAATGTGAGAGTAATCAAGATAAGGAAGAAAAGCCGTAAGGAACTATATAGTCAAATTTATTGTATGTTGTAGGTATGACAGAGAAGCTCCAGAGAATTTTTAGAAAACATAATATTGATGCAGCAGTGAAACCACACATGACTCTGAAACATGTGATAGTCCAACCTAAAGACAAAATAAAAATTAATGATAAATGAGGTGTTGTTTATGAAGTACCATGCAAATCAAGTCACAAATCATCATTGTCGCTTTCCACTGGGTCAAGAGACCCGTGGCATAAAAGGTCAATTTGTTTCTCCCATTCATGGCGGTTCATGGCCCAGTGTTAAGTCCAAGGACCCAATCAGAATGCTCTGCTTCGTCATGTGACTAAAGATTGAAAATGTCTATTCGGACTGAATAAATATCGCATTGTTGATTTGCTGATTGGTTTTGTGGCGTCTCAACTGCGGGCAACTGCCAGGAGTAGCAATATTGAGAGTGAACTCAGCTGGGTTTATTTACACAGTGGTCAATAAATCGGGCCGATTGATCAAGGTGAGGTAGGAACAATCGAAACCTTGTGAATCAAGATGACAAATTGTATAAAGGGGAAACTTCATGACCATTGAAAATAAGAATTAAAGAACAGAAGATGGAAGCAGATTCAATGGACCATTTACGTTATACGTGATAAACTTTAAAAAAAATATGAAAGGTGTGATGAATAAATCGGCTATTACAGATCATGTCCTTCAAAATAATTGTGTTATTGATTTAGACAATGAACAGTTTTAGACAATGACAATAAGATACTAGAAAGATGGATAAAAGAATCTATTTTTATAAAGTGTTTTATTTTTAAACAATGTGTAATGAACCCATAGGATAGTAAATACAAGACAAGGCTAGACTAATTTGTTCTTTTAAATTGCAAATGTAATGAATCTTTCAGGAAGAGTTCTTTATAACAGTCTAGTTTTAAAAGATATTGTTAAGTTACATTTTTGTTATCCATTGTTTCCAGTTGTTGATCCCAACTAACCTTGTGGCTCGTAAAAGCAGCAAGAGGGAGCTCATTGAAGATGTCGAAGATGTGAAACAGTTCAAGAAATTACTCCGAACCAAAACAAACTTGTTGGTTATTTATGCCAAGTCAGGTAGGTCAGGTCACATTAGTGATCTTCCGGCCTGCATTAGAACAATACGGTGCTACACCTGTTGAATATTCAAAAATCACATGCCATCCTGTTGAAAATTTGTAAGAAGGATGAAATATTGAGATATTCTGACCAAAACATGTCAAATGATAAGAGTAAAAAATATTGTAAAATTTTGATAATTTTTTTTCTGAACTAAACTCTCAACATGTGTCTGGGCCTTTTAATCACTTTTAACAAGATAGTTTTCAAAATCTTCTTTAGCAAGATTATTTGAAAATAAAAATCTACCCTCAAGGATATGCTTGTATAGTGAATATACATTATTGACTACAATATCTTTTTCAACGTGGCAAATATCCGACTGATCATTGATTAATACAGGGTGATTCAAAAAATGTAACCTGCTATTTTTCAGACCACAGTAAAAAATGCAAATTTAGAAAATTGTGTATTCTAAAAATAGTGGATTCATTGATAAAGTGTATTAAAGGACTCAAATAATGGTTAAGGGTCAAGTTTGACCACAATCATCAGTTATTCAGAAAATATTGATTTGCCTTTTTGGGTCACTCTGTATTATTCAATGATCAATGATAATTCAGTGTTCTCCACAGGATTATTTCTCAAGTGGGTGCAAAATTCTCATTTTTACAATTCAGACCATAATCTCATTTTGAACTGGGTGCAATTGGATTTTCAGATGGGTGCTGCGCCCACTTGCTTTAATGCTGGGGAGATCACTGTAATTTGTTATTGAAGTAATGTTCGTCATGTTTTATAAAGTGAACATTCTACATAGACTAGAAACTACATGCACATGTATATAAGAGAATTAAAGAAGGTTCCATTGTAATGAATCAATAAAAATGGTGGGTTGCATTTTTTGGGGTCAGCCTGTATGTTATTTAGAGAGGCTAGAGTAGGTCTCCTTTACATGTTGATAAAATTGAATTATACATTATCCTTAAAATGGGACATTTGAATAATCTCCTAGAATATATATTTAGTAGACTTTATTTTGGATTGATTTCCAAATCAATTGCTTATTATCACACTTCTCTGAAGGTCATGCTAACCTATCTAATTAATGATTAATGTGGCATGAATAAAAGACCAGGAATATTAAATGAAGAAATTGAATTATTTTAGTCTTTTTGTAGGATAATTTTGCTTTTGGAGAATGATAAAGCATTGATCTGTTTCCCTTTTACAAATTTTTGACCTCACATGGGTGTCGCGTGAGCTTTTGTAATTACCCACTTGGAATGAAAAATGAACAGATATTTTATCAGATAGTTTATAAAATGAATGTCAATTAAGGTTATTTTGTTTTTCCTGATATGCTAAAGTATACATTTTTGTTTCTAGGTAGGGCTGTCACTATTTTCACCTGAGATGTTTTATATATTAGGGTCATACAAGATACTTGATAAAAGGTTGAAATCTCCCAATTTAAAATTATCTTTTTTTTGAAGTAGGATTGATTCGAACAGGACTGAAATGATTGATTAACTTTATGTGGAAATGCAATAAATAAATCATGATTAATACTAACTCTTGACAGTTCCATATATGGTTGCTCAGCAACATGTCAATACTGAAGGATCCTTTTACACCCTTCTGTGTAAGCGGCCATGAGAAATATATTCAATATATTAAGGGAGCATTTCAAAAGATTGATGTCGGAGAATTAACTTTATTTCATCAGTTATGGGGGAGGAGGTCATTAGCCTTAAAAGTTAGCATTCCGACATCGTTCCCAGGAATTTTATTTGAGCAAAATTTGTTGGATATAAATTCAGGATTCTACAGTTAGATACAATACAAGAGATAATGTTATGCTGATACTGTACAAAAATACAGATTGGAATAATTATTAAAAATTTACTGTATTACAGCATGTTAGATCAAGAGTGACTTAACACGCATATCGATATTTCTCAAACATAGGTTTTATGAGGAGGAGGGATTAATAGTCAAATAAACTGTTCAAATATAGTCAATTTTTCGACATCTACCTTTTGAAATGCTTTTGAAAAATAATGCCAAGAAGCAATTGCTTTAATGTTATTGCCTGATCAAATTAATGGCATAAATTATGTCAAATATGAAATAATTCATTAAAATGACACGTTTATAGCAAAACATTTTTTATCAATATATATTTTATGACATCATTTACAATACATAACTTCATAATTTTTTATTTAATTTCAATTCTTTTAGGCCTATCACATAATTCTCTCGATTGTGGTATATTTGTATCAATGAAATCATAAAAAGACTGCATAATTTACAAGAATTTAATTTATTGAAATGGAATAACCTTTTGATCAAAGTCCATCTGCTGCATATATCAATCTTCAAACAATAAAGTCTTTGTTGTAAGTGTTTGCTTTGATTAAATCATTTCTAATTCATTATTTATTTTGAATGTTCTCATATTGCCTATCAATAAAAGGAATCAAACCCATTAAGTAGCGTGTAATCATTTGATCGCAACTTAATATCTTTGCTCGATATGGATATAGTAAAGGCATCCGTCTATCTGTCTATCCGTCTGTCAGCCCATCCTATCAACCAGGGCATAACTCAAATCCTAGAGAACCAGGTTGTATTTAGTCTCAAATTTCAATGGGGAATATGTGAAGCTGAGAAGAGATGGCTTAGTGGGATAATGCTCGCCTGGCACGCAGTCGACTGTGATTGGAATCCCGCTTTGTGCATTTAATTTTTTAACTCAATGGTTGCGCTTTGATATATAAAACACTTTATAACTATGTCAACTATATAATAAAGCATTAATAATCTTCATAGTTGTATGAAAATGTAAAAATGGTATATGTCCAAATATTGCGTTTTATGGAAAAGTCGTATTTTAGGGTACAGACTTGACTAAGAGAAAAATGAAAATAAAATCTCACCTATTGTGTGATCCAATGTTCTATCTCAGGAAGAGTTCTCACGATAGAGAAGAGTTCTTCAGATAAAGAGCGACCCTGAAAGACTCTTACTACATGTAGAATGTTGTTGTAGAAACATTTATGGTATAATGGTTCCTGTGCAGTAAATCATATTCATTTGTATTCTGCACAATCTCAGCCTAAAATACCATTGATCACTAGAGCGGTGACATGACACCGAGTACATATATTTGTTTCTTAATATATTTCAGATAAAGCTGTAAGTAAGTTGATGCCAATTCTCAGTGAGGTGGCAGATGAAGTTAGGGGCACTGGAACTCTCATATATGTCAACTGTGGGTAAGTGTTAAAGAATATTCGATGTTTGACTATTTGATGTCCTGTAAATGAATCTAGACAACCAAATCTAGAAAGGTGTCAAATATGACACTCAGTCATGAATGTATTGATAAGTTTATGTTGTTCATATTACTTTTGTATGAAGATTATTCTTCCTTCAGAATTATCAGCCATTAAAAAGTTTACACGTTTTTCACAAGTATTATGAAAATAAATTCTGTTAAGTTTTCACCTTTTTCAATTTTTATTTATTTTTGCCAATATTTAATTTTTTCAAATTGTCTTCTATTCAGGGAAGCCAAAAAATTATGCAAAAAGTCCAAAGCATCCCCCAGTACAGTGGAACTGAAACATTACAAGTAAGTTGAACTGAAACATTACAAGTAAGTTGAACTGAAACATTACAAGTTGAACTGAAACATTACAAGTAAGTTGAACTGAAACATTACATGTAAGTCAGATGAAGCATGTGATATTTACAATTATCATACAATTACAAAAATATTCTTAGTTTCTCGTTGCTTTCAATTTTATACTCGCACATATGGTTTTTTAAACTATTTTTGTGCTGTTTTATTATGCATTTAAAAATGTACAATATCTGATGTAGCTATAAGTAGGAGGATCACTAATGAGAAAGAACTTTTTTAATGTAAATTTTCATTTAAGTTCAAATTTTTGGATTCAATATTTTCAGAGATGGCGAGTACAATAAAGATTATGACAGAAAAAATACAGTTAAGGTAAGAATATTTTATAATGTGGTTGCTGTAAGAAGAAACATCTCATATTAGGATGACTTTAAAAACATTTTTATCGAGAAAAGCAAGTTTGTAACTCATTGTTTGGTACTTCTGAACTATTCTATGAAATAAATGCTTTGAAAAAACACCAAAACACCCAATAGACTAAGATGATAACTGTTAGTGTTTTGAATTTGTTTATTGATTGAGTCATATTTGATGTTAGGGAAGTAATATCCCATGTCAGATGTCACTCAGTCCGGGAAAATACAATGAATGATTGTTTTACTTCTAGTCTATGGTTAGCTTCATGAGAGATCCTACTGGGGAGATACCGTGGGAGGAGGATTCCACTGCAGGAGATGTAGTTCATATAGAACATCAAGCTGTAAGTATGAGAAGTCATCTTTAAAGATTGCACTCAATTCTACTCATAATCAAACAACCTAGTTGCTATTAGGTAGTTACTAGTCTCACCACCAGGTGGCTAATTCAGGTTATATCATGGTAGACATAGAAAAGCTCCTTTAAAGGGAGGCTTGGCGTACTTTCAGTGTTTATTAGCAAAATAACAAGTACATGTACTCAACTTTCGTTTGACATCAAAAACATTTCAAACGGGCCACATCGCAGCTTACAATTACGAATCCAAAAAGTATTCTCTCTCTAAATTTTTATTGACCATAAGAATTTAAGTACATGTACATACATATATATCACCACAATAATAGGTCATTCACCACAATAATAGGTCATTCACCACAATTATAGGTCATTGAGCTATTTTTCTACCATTTGGCATTCAGGATGGCAAAATAAGTAAATAAGTTAATTATTTCATTTCCAGGCATTGAATAAACTGATAACTAAAGAAAAGAAGCCTCTCTTGGTGATGTTTTATGCCCCATGTAAGTAAATAATATTTTAGATTCTTATCTTGCTCAATTTATCTCATAATTACAGGAGCAGATCGCTCTGTTAGACAATAACAATTTCTTGAATATTTGGATCACTGAACTTATGATCATATCATAACTTGTGGCAGTCATAAATGCCTTCTTATCTCTGATAAAGTACTTTATATATTAATAATGAATCCTCCTAAGTCAGATCTGTCAATGAATGATAAAATACTACTATTTTTTCATATTGATAAAAACCTAGATAAAGTAATTGTACAAGAATAAATTGCTATTTCTACTAAATAATGAATATTTTATGAGTTTAATTTAAAAAATCTGCAAATTATAAAGTTCAGCAATGTGAAATCAATAACTATCTGACACTGTCGAAACACAATTCAGTCGTGCAAATTGACTTTGTTTCTTGACAATGAATGTTTGATCAGTTGAAAGTGAACAATTGAATGATTTATTTGCATTTTGTGATTACAACAACAATATTTGTTACAAAAGTATTAATGTGTACAAATAGTATAGTTAGATTGATAGTATATTCTCAATAAAACATTGATGAGGAAAATTTCATATTTTATTTGTGAGATTGACTTTTCTTGTTTTTCCTAGTAAAATACATGAGATGATTGATTATATCTTAAATATTTAATGGACCTATGCACATTTATTCTAACATTTCCATGTCTTGTCCATAAACGTTTTCAAGTTTGATTTTTATCAGTTAAGTAGTTACGGTACAGGTGTTGATGGGAGAATTTCATGGGCAGAATATTCTTTGCCAAAATCAAGTACCACTACTTGGTACATGTATAATGGAACAATTGGCTTTATTAATTGGAAAAAATTGAATGAAACTTGCATGTTTAAAGTGACTGTTTTGTTGATTCTCAAATCTTCCTAATTTCAATTGCTTTGATAGAAGTACTTTTGTTGTAAAGGATGGGTGTCTTTGGGATTTAAATATGATTTAAGCAATAATGATAAAATAACTAAATAAATCAATTATGATATCCATAAAAATCTTGTTTACTCAAATACTGGTTATCAGATTTGGTTAATTAACCTTGTAATAATTCGATATGTATATAGAGCCTGTAACTGTTTTAGGGTGTGGATTCTGCAAAAGAATTAAACCTGACTATGCATCTGCAGCCACAGAACTTAAAGGCGAATCAGTAAGCACGAATGTATTATATTACATTTGATTTTAACATTCATGTAATCATATTTTTCATGTGAAATTGTACCAGCAATCTCTCTAGCATGTATCATATATATAGTTATAGTAAAGAAATGATGTACAGTATTGTGAAAAATGTTGAACTTTTAAATCACATTTTGAAAGACTCCTTGCGGCACACAACATTATACTTTGAAAAGCATGAGACCCCAAATGTTACATGAGACCCCAAATGTTTATTTGTACATTTTAGGTAATGGCTGGTATGGATGTAGATAAACCAGAGAATATGAATGTGAGAACTGCCTTTAATATAACAGGCTTCCCAACCATTCTCTACTTTGAGTGAGTCTTTTTATTGTTATTTGCATGGGATTTTTATAACTTTTGAAATTTGAACTCATTTTTGAACATTAAAAATAGTGTCACTAAGAAGGATATACCTAATTTTTATTTTCTCTTATAGCCCACTTAAGGGGTCTGCCCATCTTCCTGTTTAGAAAATACAGTATGTTGTATCAATCTCATTTGCATGTGTTGTTTTGTGTCTTAGGAAAGGTCAGATGAAATACAAATATGGAGGAGAAAATACTAAAGATGGCTTAGTGTCCTGGATGAGAGAGTAAGTTTTTCTTGTAATTAAATAATAAATATACATATATACATGTACTGCCAATCTCCAACAGTTCCATACGGTACAGTTTGGGGTACAGTACCATACTCTTAATGTGCCTTCGGTACCGTGTTTTTATAGTGTGGATCAGGGGTGTACATGAGGGTGAGTTATAAGTAGCAACTATAGGCTGTTTTTCTCTAAAAATGCGATTAGATCTTGATGTTTACAGAATTTGACAGATATGAAATGTTGTGGATATAAATTATATTCTTTGAAATAGTGTATGTCCTATAAAGACCTATATATGTAGGCAACTGTAGAAGCAGTTACCGTAATCACTGTAATAAGGGCCCACCCCTAATAAGCGCCCATCCCGCTTCACAGAGTTCAAAAAATATCGAGGAATGACCAAGTATTTACAAATATATCAGAAACAATCAGCTAATATTATCTCAAATAGTCCATAATGAATGAAGGAAATGATCACGTTTCAGAGATTTGTTTCAACATTTTACTAACTGAGCGATCGTCAAGGTCATATGGCAAATACGGTATAACTCTATTTAGCACACTGTTACTTTCATATTTGTAGCCCCCAGCCACCAAAGGAACCAGAGAAAGAAGCTGAATGGTCTGATGCTGAGAATGATGTAGAACATCTCACAGATGAAAACTTTGATACATTCACTGCAGACAAAGAATCTGTTCTAGTCATGTTTTATGCACCTTGTAAGTTGATTATATTTGAGTTCACTTGTGTGATGACTCATTACTCATGAGTCATGAGTGGCATATTGAGAATGGAGGGGTGTACAGTATGGTAATTATAACGGGTGTACTGTTGGGTCACATGAAAACCTGGCACCTGCAAACAGTAGCCTCAATTGCCTAGTTGGACCTATAAAATGAATTTAGAATATTATTTTACGCAGAAATGAGAACATTTTTATGTTGAACACTTAATTTTGAAACTATTAAACAAAAATTTTAACAAGAAAGTTTTTCAGTTTGTTTACTTTGGTATATCTGATTTGCTGTGTGTATTATGAAAATGAAACTTCAGTTTCACAAACAATTACACAATTTACATCATATCCTTACTATACCTTAAATGATATATTCTCTTATAGGGTGTGGACATTGTAAAAAGATGAAACCAGAATATGAACAAGCTGCCTCAGAATTAAAAGAAGAGGGAGTCAGTGGTATAATTGCAGCAGTCGATGCGACAAAATCCCCTAAAGTAGCCCAGAAATACGAAGTGAAGGGCTATCCAACTGTCAAATTTTTCTCCAATGGAGAGTCAAAATGGGACTTTAATGAAAGAACTGCTGAAAAAATAGTTGAATTTATGAAAAACCCTGTGGAGCCCCCACCCCCTCCTCCCCCAGAACCTGAATGGTCCGAAGTTGAAAGTGACGTTGAGCATTTAACTGATGAGACATTCAAATCTACATTAAAGAAAAGAAAACACTGCTTAGTTATGTTTTATGCTCCATGTAAGTATAACTTATTTTAATATAGTATATATACTTTTATTATGTCACACCAGAAGTGATGACATATTGTTATATTCTTCAGTGGACAGTGTTCAACATTCAGTGGTTTGTGTTCGGTGGTTAGGGTCTGTAACAATTGGCAGGTGGTGACATTTTGCATGTTAATGCCTTGTATATTTATAAACAGATAAAAATGACATGTTGTTGATCATCATTTCTTTCATGAAATTACAATTTTTAAAATGACTATATGAATGAATATATCGTGAGATAGTAGACAAGATGATGAAGAAGGTTAGTATTTCTTACCAATGTTTTCATCATTATGGCTGTTCTTTCATAATACTAAGTTCTTCATTTGTTTGTTTTCATCAGGGTGTGGCCATTGTAAAAGAGCCAAGCCAGAATTTATGGCAGCTGCCGCTCAATTCAAAGATGACAGAAAGGTATGTAAAATATTGTAGATGCATCAATGTAGGTCCATGCAGTACACATCCTGCAATTACAACAAATTACGATTATGATTGTTGACAATTTTCAATTTTGTTTTGACTGGGACTAGCAATTTAATTTGATGAGTGATTTAGAAGTTTCATGTTGATCTTTCTTATCAACAATTTCAAATCATAATATCTGAGCATCTTCCATTTACAAGACAGAAAGATGATGAGTGATGAATGTTGATTCATTGATTATCACACAAAAACAAAAATCATAACAGCCTACAGTTTTAAATTTTGGCATATTTTAGGAATAGATCAGCACTGACCCATTTTAAGCAAATTAACTGGTAGTGTATAGAAAAATACTGTAAAGGAGACTGATTTCAATTAAAGCTATCTAAATTAACTGAATTAATTTGATAAGAAAATTGAGCTAATTGATTCATTTCCTGGCCACCTCCAGGTATCATTTGCTGCTGTGGACTGCACCAAACATCAAAGTACTTGCAGTGCCTTTGAAGTATCGGGCTACCCAACTCTAAAATATTTCAACTATGGAAAAGATGCTCAAACTTACTCAGGAGGAAGAGAGGTAAGTCTTGTTAGATATTGCATATTAAATATGTATATACAAAGCTTTTTAGTATTTTTTCTTGTTTTTTATGTCGGAGTTCTTTTCTCTGTGATCTGATATGCATGTATATGATATTGCATACTTCCCTGTACACATTGACTCTGATAGTTCAAGATGAGGCATACTTTCATTAAAACAAAATATTGTAGTTGTTATCAGTGAATATCCATCAATTGATTTGAAAGAGATGAAAATTGAACATGTGTCTTACATTTGAGATTTATTATACATGTAGCTTAATTTCAGTTTTATTTTACATTCAAGGAACGAGATTTCGTAAACTTTATGAATGATCCGCTGAATCCACTCTCATCTTCACCACCTGCTCCTCCTGCTCCAGAGGAATCATGGAGTGATCTCACGGGAGCAGACCAGCTTACACATCTCACAGATAACACATTCAATGAATTTATCAATCAACATGAGTCTGTACTCGTCATGTTCTATGCACCCTGTAAGTAGAATATACGAGGGGTGATCAATAAGTAATGGACGCTTTTTTACACAGTTACTTTTTATAGACCAATCCCTTTGATTTTCCTACCAGTGATACATCATTCAATTATCTATCAATTCTGAAGATTTGAAGACAAAATATATAATACTTATATATATCCTTATTTCCGTGAAGGAGGTACAGGTACCCCGGGACCGACATTTACGTCACATATTCAGTTTTTAGCCAGTATGGTAAATTTCAGTTAGATTGGAACTTTTTATGTGCAACAAGTGTTGTGTTGTTTGAAATTTTTTGCTGACTGGTAACACATAAACAGAATGTATTGTGATGTCAGAGTGTTGTATGGAAGGGGTTTGCAGGTCAATTTGAGAAAGCATTGTGGAAGAAAGGGGTGGTGAGAGAAAGGAACACCCTACTCCATATGGACAATGCACCTGCCCACAGATCACAAAATGTTCAGAAAACAATATCCCTGGAACTCAAGATCGAGCCCTTGGCCAATGCACCATATTGTCCAGATCTGCTCACATGTGACTTGTTAATTTCTATACTACTTATTTCTATAGAGAAAGGATGCAGGTTTATTGACATTGATGAAATAAACATGATAAAACAACCCATGCAACTGCATCTTGCTACCATGTCAGAGAATGGATTCAGCCTTGTCTCACAATCTTGAGTTAAGAGGATGAGGAATTGTATACATGTAGCACTTTATGGAACCTACTTAGAGGGCCCTGTGGAATGAATGTGGCATGAATACCACATAGTGATGATAAAATATTCAAAATCAACTATGGCAAAACAAAATGGGGTAATTCATGAGCATAATGGTTTGTTTTGTACAGCCTGCATTCAACTGCATTGCATGTTAAACAAGCTAAAATAGCTTCAGAATATGTGTCGTAAATGTCGGTCCTGGGGTACCTGTACCTCCTTCACAGAAATAAGGATATATCAACCTGTATTATATATTCTGTCTTCAAATCTTCAGAGTTGATAGATAATTGAATGATGTATCACTGGTAAGAAAATCGAAGGGATTGGTCTATAAAAAGCATCTGTGTAAAAAAGCGTCCATTACTTATTGATCACCCCTCGTACTTTGAAATGTTGATAGTTTTAGATATGGTGTCCAAATGGTAACAGTTTTCAAAAGTTTCAACCCCTTGTTGTTCCCCATAACTAAAGGAAAACTAATATTTTTAGAAACAAAATTACCCAATGATATCCAACTGGCATTCATTTATGGTGGCTGCCTACTTAAAAGGTCCAAAATCTAACATTTAGCCTGTAACAACTTAAACAAATAGTACAAGGCATCATTTACTCCCTCCCCTAATGAAATTATGTTCTGCCACATTGGTAGACATTTGGACGCCAATTTTCTAGCCTTAGTAAACTTCAACATAATCTTAATCTCAAAATAATTTCTACATATGCCTACATGTTACGACATTTCTCACTGACAACCTAACAACAGAAAAAAGATAATTTATTAAACATGCCAAAGCATTATTTGAATTGTGTAAAATGAATACATAAATGAATAAAAACTTATCTTTCAAAACTCTGCTTGTTTCAAATAAACCATTGAATGTGTGTTTTCCATTTTTTGACTGACAACCTAACAACAGAAAAAAGATAATTTATTAAATATGCCAAAGAATTATTTGAATTGTGTAAAATGAATACATAAATAAATAAAACTTATCTTGTATGAAATAAACCATTGGATGTGTGCTTTCCATTTTTTGACTGACAACCTAACAACAGAAAAAAGATAATTTATTAAATATGCCAAAGAATTATTTGAATTAAGTAAAATGAATACATAAATAAATAAAAACTTATCTTTCAAAACTCTGCTTGTTTCAAATAAACCATTGAATGTGTGTTTTCCATTTTTTGACTGACAACCTAACAACAGAAAAAAGATAATTTATTAAATATGCCAAAGAATTATTTGAATTAAGTAAAATGAATACATAAATAAATAAAAACTTATCTTTCAAAACTCTGCTTGTTTCAAATAAACCATTGAATGTGTGTTTTCCATTTTTTGACTGACAACCTAACAACAGAAAAAAGATAATTTATTAAACATGCCAAAGAATTATTTGAATTAAGTAAAATGAATACATAAATAAATAAAAACTTATCTTTCAAAACTCTGCTTGTATCAAATAAACCATTGAATGTGTGTTTTCCATTTTTAGGGTGTGGTCACTGTAAAGCCATGAAACCAGCATATGCTGAAGCAGCCCAAGAGCTCAGTACAGCAGGGATTAGTGGAAAACTGAGCACAGTTGATGCTCAGCAGGAAAGGGTCCTTGCTGGAAGATTTGATATCAAAGGATATCCAACAAGTAAGATAGGATCTTGTTAAGGTGAATTGAGTGGGACAATTTTGATATCCGCTAAGGTGTTATGTATAGTGACACAAAATTTTAATATTGTTCTTGTTACTGTTTTGCAGTAAAATACTTTAAAAATGGAGAAATGCAGTTTGACTATACCAAAGGACGAACAACAGAAGACTTAGTAGCCTTCATGAAAGAGTAAGTTGAATTTGCAGTCAATTAGTTCACATCTCGGTACATGCTTGAAATCTCAGTCAATTTACATTACATAAAAATCACTGTTACATTGAGAAAAATATTTTAAATCTCATTAATTTACAGAGATCTACATGTAGGTCAATGTTTTACAGCTAGGTCACCGTTTTATTTGAACCCTTGGTAATATTGCGATCAGCTTGCCTCATCTAAATGTACATTCCATGACATTTCAGGGTTGAAAATAAATAATTTTTAGGTGGCTATTTTTGGATTTTCCATTCTAAATCTTTTGTGTAATGTCTTGTCTACAGGTTTTCAGCAATTTTTTTTGATAGAATTAAATTTCTTTCTTGGATGCTTTTTGGTATAAAATCCTTGAATCAACAATTTTTGGGCATGTTGTTTTAAGGCAGTCATTTGGGATTTTTTCCTGGAAAAGTCTTACCAAAATATTTTTCAGTTTCTGTCTGACAGTCAAAAGATCAATTTTTAGAAAAAGTTAAAATCCCTCAATCAAATCATTTGGTCTACTTTGGTGTATTTTCATGACTTATTTTTTGAAGTCAAATGTGCCCATTCCGTAGTCAGTAGGCAGATATTCGAAATTGGATCCAAATGCAGTAAGAAACTCAGATAGATGCTAATAAAAAAGCTAGAGCGTGTTTTAACTCTTTATGCAACATTGGAATGTACAATGGAGGACTTAACCCATTAGTAAGTCTTAAAATATGGAATCGTATCATTATGCCGACGGCAATGTACGGATGCGAACTATGGTATTCTTTAAGTCCTAATGAAATTGAAACAGTAGAGATTACACAGCGTCACATAGCAAAAAGATTTCAGGGTATGGTGAATCGTACACCGAGTGGAGCTGTGATAAGCTCTCTGGGGCAATATTCAGTGCAATCGTATATACATAAATTAAAATTAATGTTTCTAGGACGACTATGCAGATTAAGTGACATCTTAATACAGAAAAAAATATTTATAATTCGCCTTGCGAGCACGATTGTACGAGATGTCCATAATCTGCATAGTCAGGGTTTTTTAAGTGACGTCATGTCTATTTTAGATACATATCCTGTTATCCGTCAAGAATTCCTAACTTATTTGGAAGGAAATACTTTTAAACATAGAATTTTGGACAAAGGAAAATGGAAATTATTAGTAAATGGCCAAATTCAGTATACAGAATCAAAAACATGGCGAGAGACTGTCCACATTAATCCAAGATTACAACGCTTTTCAAATGTTCATATAGAATATAAGCCTATTATTTATTGGGAACTTGGTCTAAAATATCCCATGTTTACTTGGCGATTTGGCCAGTTACTTTCACTCCTTTTACTTTTTACCGAAAAAGAAACAAAATGCCTTGCATGTAAAAAGTTAACAATTGATATGGTCAGTCACCTTGTTCTTCACTGCCAGCATATCCGAGTTATTTATTTGAGAGAGAAACTCTTAGATGGTATTGTTAATATACTACCTATTGATTTATCAGTTCAATTATTGAACACTTCTGAAGATATTATTGTAGAAACGTTATTAGGAAGCACTACTGATGTACTTCAAAATTGCCAAGATGGTACAATTGAACAGTTCCTATTGAATAGTGCATATTACATTGATCTTATGGTGAAAACAGTTATCAAACAAACAGAAATGTAAAAACTCTAAATGTAAATCTATATGTAACCATATGTACAAATGTAAATAATCTGTTAATGTGAATTGTCTGTAATTATATGTAATGTTTAAATCTTCACCTATGTGGAGGAAATAAAGACACTGAACTGAACTGAACTGAACTGTCAGAGTTCCAAGAATTTACCAGAATTCCATGAATGAACTATAGTCAAATTTTTGAAGGGGTGATAAATATCCAAAAATATAAATAAACAACCTCAAATGTGATAATCCAGTTTATAAACTATTCTAATTTCGCACAATGTAATAAATGTAATTAACAATCTCAAGTATGATGGTCAAGTTTACAAAATATAATGACTTGTCATATTATTAGGTTTTTTAGAATCATCCACCATTTTGAAATTTAGAGCATTAATCAGAAGAAAATGCAATTGGGCATGATTCTACTCAGCTCTCTGATGAAAGGAAGGAGGTGAAGATAAGTCATTGGCCAAATTTATTATATATTGGCGAAAAACTTAAGAATACAGCCGAATGAGAAAATAAATAGATTTTTCGATGGTCGGACAGCATATGAAAAATATTTTATAGTTAAATTTTTGAAGGGGTGATAAATATCCAAAAGTACAAATAAACAACTTCAAATGTGATAATCCAGTTTATAAACTATTCTAAACAATTGTAATTTCGCACAATGTAATAAATGTAATTAACAATCTCAAGTATGATGGTCAAGTTTGCAAACTATAATGACTTGTCATATTATTAGGTTTTTTAGAATCATCCACCATTTTGAAATTTAGTGGATTAATCAGAAAAAAATGTAATTAGACATGATTCTACTCAGCTCTCTGATGAAAGGAAAGAGGTGTAGATAAGTCATCAGTCAAAGGATCCGTACCCATTAGTGTACCTATAAGAACTTAGAAAATTATTGAAAAGGGTAAAATGGAATTCCAGAATTCTTTTTATGCAATATGAATCTTTATTAAAGTGTGCGCCAAAGTTTAAAAGTGCGCAGGCGCACCGCTCTCGCTAAACTATATAAAGAGATTACCAGGTACACGATTCAGAGGTAAGCCAGGAAGGCGAACGATCTTCGTCTCGAGATGATTTCCCATATAATCGTAACCAGGGAAGTTTCACCATTGAAATTGAAAATTACTATTAGATATACTTTGTAGATGTTATTTATGAAGCTATTTAGTGTTTGCATCAATCAAATGGCTCATTTTGAACATATAAAAAGTATTTGTGTTTTGTTTCCCAAGGAATTGTATTGTATGTAGTACACACATAAATAGTTTACATTATACAGTACTTGAATAGCCTGGTTTACATAATATTGAAGGGCATGCTGATTACATGCACACGAGTACATGAATGAAGGCCTAATATTGATATACGTAGCTTGCATACCTAAATAAAAAATAAACTCTTCTAATCCCCTAATGTAAACACGGCGGTATACGTAGCCCGATTTATCGGAGACTTTAAGTATATTTTCAACAAATCACAAAAATAGCGTGGAAAATATGGTAAAAATGTGTTTTTAACAGTGATTCTTAACACATGTCAAGTTGACTCTTCAAATGAGTAATTTTGACATATTTTCACAGAACCTTGATTAAAATCTTGAGTTTTTTAGATAGACTAAATTTTACTTGTCAATATAAGAAGTACAATGTGTCCTAATCTACTAAGCTTCATTTCATGTACCATTCATGCATAAATAGTTAGTAATCCAATTGTATTGAAAGACACCCTGTTGTGATGTTGTTGTAAACAGTGAATGACCTTTTCCATTCATTGACAGATTGAGGTACTTCCACAAACCAGACCCCCTCTGAATTTACGTTTATTGTCTAGTATTGACACTATTTTATAATTCAAACATGAAATAAGAGAGGGTCCTAAGTGTGAGAGATACACAATATGAAAGTATAGCAGAAATTTTAGTTTCAAAAAGGAGGCCATATTGAAATTGCCATTATAGTCAGGAATCCATTCTGCCTTGAATGTATTGCTTAAGGTAGGTGCAACATAAAACCTTCTACAAAAATAGACAATCTTATTTGGAAAGGCATTCTGGATTGAACCTTCCAACAAACTGTGTCATTTACAATAACAATGGTGTCAACATATTACGCCACAGAGACATCCAACCTGGGTTCCAATAATTCTGAGCACCATGTTCAAACCTCTAAACAGACATGTATTCAATTTTCAATAACAAGATCAAAGAAAACATGTGTCATTTGCAATAAAGCAATTAAATCACAGGTAACTTAAATATGTTTTTTTTTCAAAATGGGGTATACTATTAGAACATATTATGATATGAAAGCAATGAGCCTGATAATCGAAAAAATATGTTTCGGCTAGTCATTTGTTTGAATGAATATTGCTCGTTAAGTGTTCATATGAAATAAACTAAGACCATTATGTCATCTATCATTGTCTTAATTTCTTTGACAATGCCAAATGAAAACATAATGAAACGGAAAGTCGCAACTAGATTTAGCTGAATTTAGGTTTTGTATTTTAAACTGTTGCTCTTTGTGTTCTACATTATATTTAATGATTTGACATAGTATCTAGGTTGAATATCTAGGTTAAAGCTACAGTTTACACAATAAGGGTGATCATGGTACTATTGTTCAGAACACATTTAACAAGGTGCATTTCATCATATGATACATTATTTTTAGTGGTTATTTTATGATTTGTGTTTTCAGTATGTTGCCCTTTGTGTCCCACCTTAATATTTTAATATACCCTCTAGGTTGAATGCCTACTGTATACCAACTGAGGTGATCATGGTAATATTGTTGGGAACACATTTATTAAGGTTCATTCTTTCAAAAGATATATTAAGTTTTTATTTTTTTTATGATATGTGTTTTCAATATGTTGCCCTTTGTGTTCTACCTTAATGATGTTCTGACGTATCGATTGAGGAATGGTCAACATACTTAAAATGATCATGAATGAAGACTAATTTACCCCTAAAATGATATTTAGAATGATTTCCGTAGTCAAACTTAAATGCACTGAATGACCTTAGTTTTAATCCAAATGACCTAAATTCATTTTTGATGTATTCATAATTGATAAAAGTAACTATTTCCATATTATTTTCAATGAAACCTTTGGGGGCACCTTCAGGTACATTAAGTAACGGATCCTTTATTATATATCGGCGAAAAACATCAGAATACAGCCAAATCAGAAAATAAATGGACTTTTCGACCATCGGGTAGCATCTGAAAAATATTTTATGCATTTTCAGACAAACTGTTTCATCAAATCATTTCACATTTTCTGGGATGTTTTATACAGGGTGTCAAATAAGTCCCGTCCCCCCTGCTACAGCTAAAGCCTTAACAGACAGTACCTAGTGTGATATACCATTGGAAAGATCATCCAAAGTTATGTTAACTCACCAACTCTCAAGTATTTTGGATGAAATTTACCTATATTTTTATGATGTCTTTTATAGTTTACGTGCCCTCCTTTAAGTAGCTTTTTTGCGTCAAAATGACAAGGATATGACCTCAGAAATACGTCAAAAAGTTTATCTTTTTCGCATTCCACTTGTTACAAAATGGTTTTCAGCACTTTCCTTGCCCCTCTATTTTCTACACATCTAACCCTATCCAGAAATTGGTTAAATTCATTGCCATAAACATATTTAGTCATATTTTGGTCCCTTGACCTTTCTTATACCCGATTCTTAAAATCCTGCCAAATATGCCAAATTGCCATGTTTCTAGGCATATGGTCACCTCAATTGATACAATGTAATAATTTGTGAGATTAATTGACATGCGTCAGATATATGCCAATCAACGTAACTTTGGAAGACCTTTCCAATGATATATCACACTTGGTACCAAATATCTTGGTTTTGGCTGTAGAGGGGGGGACGGGACTTATTTGACACCCTGTATATGTTACATTCTAAAATTGTACTGCTTGATTGTATATCTACTTAAATATGTAATTGTTCTATTGTAGTCCTAAAGCACCTCCACCCCCTCCCCCAGCCGAGCCAGCCTGGAGTGACACTCCTAGTGAAGTGAATCACCTAACAGATGCTACATTTAACAAGTTCGTCACTGGAACTGAGCACACTCTGGTAATGTTCTATGCTCCTTGGTGTGGTCACTGCAAGAAGGCCAAACCAGAATACCAGTTAGCTGCTGATGAACTTAAAGCTGATGCAAGTAGAAAACTAGCAGCAGTTGACTGCACTGATGCCAAATGTAAAGGTACTGTACTTTGCCATACTTGTAGATCTAAAGGTGTTTATTTCTCTTTACACTGAAATCTCGGTACAGTCTCTTTGTTTTGGACATACCTACGTACACTGACAAGGGATATCATCATCTGTTTTGGTGAATGTCTCAAAGCAGGTCGTTTTTACAAGAATTTTCACACAATTTATTTTTTAACTCAAGAGCTGCTTATTTGCAGATAAAATGAACCAGCACATGCAGTGAAAAGTCCTTCATTGTGCACAAAATTTTTCAGGAGAGCTATTATGACCCAATACAAAGTTATTGAAGAGCCGATAACATATTTCAATGAAGGCTTCTTATAATTATCCTGGATAGTATGAATACCATTTATAAGTATGTCTTCCTTTTTATGTCCCCACCACATAGTGTGGGGCCATATTGTCGGCCTAGGCGCGTCCGTCTGTCTGTCCGTCTGTCTGTCTGTCCGTCTGTCTGTCCGTACGTCCGGCAGTTTTCTCCAAAACCGCTACAGATATCACCTTCAAATTTTCAGGGATAACTTATGAGTGCATACAGATGTGGATGAAAAAAAATTTACTCGATACCTACTTCCTGTCGGCCATTTTGAAGTCAAATGCTAAAATCCTTGTCTGCAAACTTTAAGAAAAACGGCTTCACAGTTGCTTTTAAAACTTTAACATCTATTTCAGCTCACTTCATTCTAGATCTGATTAGGTTTTGGACCTGTTAGCTCAGTCATGTCAGCCATTTTGAATGTTTTAAGAAAAGTTAGCGCACGATAATACTTTGTATCATATTGAATGGTGTTTTTCAGTTTTCATACTTTAACTTTTTAGTAGCTTTATAAATAATTTCAGGTGTACTTTGTTGTAAAAGCTTATGTTATTGTTAACAGTAGTTATATGTGATAATTTTGTAAAAAGATTTCAGCAAAAACTCATAATCACTTTTTTATTGTCGGCCATTTTGGATTTTTCCGTCCTAAAATCTTGTCTGTAAAGTCTTGTCTACGCGTTTTCAGGTGAACCGTTTGGTAGATCAATTTCAAATTTTCAGGGATGATTCTTAGTATGAGAATCTAGATCTGATTAGTTTTTGGGCATTCTGGGTAAATGTCAAGGCAGCCATTTTGGATTTTCTGTCTTAAAATCTTGTCTGTAAAGTCTTGTCTACGCATTTTCAGGTGAACCGTTTGGTAGATCAATTTCAAATTTTCAGGGATGATTCTCAGTATGAAAATCTAGATCTGATTATTTTTACGGCATTCTGGATAAATGTCAAGGCAGCCATTTTGGATTTTCCGTCTTAAATCTTGCCCGTAAAGTCTTGTCTACGCGTTTTTAGGTGAACCGTTTGGTAGATCAATTTCAAAATTTCAGGGATGATTCTTAGTATGAAAATCTAGAACTGATTAGTTTTTGGGCATTCTGGGTAAATGTCAAGGCAGCCATTTTGGATTTTCTGTCCTAAAATCTCGTCTGTAAAGTCTTGTCTACACATTTCCAGGTGAACTGTTTGGTAGATCAATTTCAAATTTTCAGGGATGATTCTTAGTATGAAAATCTAGAACAGATTAGTTTTTGGCATTCTGGATAAATGTCAAGGCAGCCATTTTGGATTTTCTGTCCTCAAATCTTGTCTGTAAAGTCTTGTTTACATGTTTTCTGGTTAACTGTATGACGGATCAATTTCAAATTTTCAGGGGTGGTTCTTAGTACATGTTTTCTGGTTAACTGTGTGACGGATCAATTTCAAATTTTCAGGGGTGGTTCTTAGTATGAAAATCTAGAACTGACTAATTTTTTGGCATTCTTGGTAAATTTTAAGGTGGCCATTTTGGAATCTCCGTCCTCAAATTGTGTCGGTAAAGTCTTGTCTACTCATTTTTAGGATAACCATTTGACAGGATCACCCATAGGTGGGGACATATTGTACACATTTGTGTTCTTGTCTTTACTTATAAAGAAAATAATAAAGAAAACTCTGATCAGATCAATGTCTAGGAGCTCTCAACATCTAGAAGCATGTATCATGTCCCTCCATCCATCAGCAAGTTTTTCGGCAAATGAAAACTGCCATTTTTCTGAACATATACATTTCCATTTTATAGTGCTCTATGCAGGTAATTTATGCCATTGGCCCCAGCTTCTACTTTTGCCTGAATTTGGAGAAATCCGTTTTTGAATCCAAGTTGTTACATTTTCACCATGTAGTAATTAATTATGAGAACTCATAAAGTAAATTGAATCGAATAGAATTGAAATTGAAAGATGTGAGCCCACCAAATAGTGTCCTCTTTAAATGTTTAATCTGAGAAGTAATATTAGTATTCAGATTTACAACAGACTTCTATTGTAAACATTGTAACACATACGTGATAAGTTTCAATAGATTATTGTCAGCATCTGTTACCATGACGATGAATTGTGATAACTTTATTAGCAGGTTTATACAATCATGGCAATAACTTGACTATTAGCTTGAGAAGTAATGGGTTTGAGCAATGCCTTCTTCATATTTGCTGATTGCTTTTATTAGAATGTAAATCATACTTGTGTTTTGTATCAGATTTGCAATAAAATTGTCTGGAGTAAAATTTCTTTCTGAATTTTGAATGAACCTTGAAGATGTATGTTTTATAATTTTCAACTTGGTTTGCCCAGTAGCAACATGCCTGGGGTTGGCAGTTTGTAGTAGCCTGTGGCTATGGCAATAGTAACTTCAACAAATCAAATGATATTCCCACAATTCTTCCAGATACAATGTTTACTAGTATGAAAATGTCATGGCGTTTGAGACATAGTTGGGAAAATATCAGAATCTTTTACTTTAGTGTACTTAACTGATAGTAGAAGGCCTAATATTAATGCAATTTAAATGCATACAAATACATCACTTTGCATGATATTATTTTTCTAATTTTTCAAAACTTCTTAAAGAAAATGACATTCAAAATTATCGCCATTAATCAAAGTGACAGCATGTTATATCACAGACAAAATCCCTCTTTTGATTACAATCTAATATTTGTCTTACTCCCACACTTTTCTGATTTGCTTTTCCCACTTGTCTAAAAAAAGAAATCGGCTAATTAAACATATGACTTTGATCCCCGCGCCAATCGATTTAGAAAAATGAAGTCTCAACATTTTAAAAGGTTAAAATGTTTTAATAAAGTAGTATTGGATTTACTGCGGTTATTGCCTTTGCTTTAGAGATACATTTGAATGTTGTAGTAGATATTGATGACAATGAATTATTTGTCTTAGTTTTGTATATTATGGTCTACCATAGTTCTATTTACCATTTTGCGGTTAGGCAACACCAGCAAATATGTATATACTATATATTTCTTTTGATATTGTAATTACCATACAAGAATTACTGTGCACACTGGTATCATTTATTGAATCATATCTCATTTTGTATTTTATTTAGCACTCAGTGATATTAAATAATGTATATTCTATGGTTGATAAATGTATTCTAGCACATTTATCATTTGCAAATATTTCACAAAATGATGTAGCCTGCTTATGCTGGTTGCTCCCATATTTTCTGTTATTTATGCTCCCATTATGTATCATCATTTCAATCACACATATGGTACATGTATGTTTGTATATGTTTCCCAAATAATTTTATTTATATGTTTTTTTATTTTCAGACACATGTAAACGATATGATGTTAGTGGATATCCAACATTCAAATATTTTTATCGTGGACAGGGAGCAGTAAAATATGAAGCTGGGCGTCAAAAAGCTGACTTCGTAAAGTATCTCATGGAACCCCCGTCTCCAACTGACAGTAAAGTAAAGAAGGAAAAGGAAGAATTGTAGCATAATTTATTAAACCTGAAAACATTTACTAGACAGTTTATGAAAAGTTCATGATCACCAAAGTAATTTTACTTCATACTATTGTCACTGTGTATAGTCCAATAACTGTCATTGATGCGGATGAGGAGGGAGGTCACGATACTCTTCTCATTCCCATTGCATCCAAATGTTGTCATACCAAGAGTTACTGTTATACACATAAATGCAATCATTTATAGAGATGTCCACATTTGACGTCCAGAAAACCTTAGTGAATATATCTCTCTTTTGAGGATATCTTCTTTATATTATACAGCTCTCTATTGGGTTCAATGCACTCATGCCGTGTGTTTTCAAGTCCCTAAGTAGTGAAATCCTATCTACAGTAAATACTTCTTTTTTTTTTTAATAGATTTTTATTTCAGGTTTAGCAGCATTACAATTCAATAAATACAAATGTTCAATATAAACAAGGTTCTACATTATTTCTATAATAAATTGCTGGTATTTCTGCCAAGAGCACCACGAGTAGATAGAGTGTTGCATTTTTGCTACATTTTATGTACATTCTTCGGAGTAATATATATATAAGATCCTCCTAGAAAATTCAAGTAAATTCACTATGTTATAATAAATGTTTGATCTCTTCCCACTTATCCCCTTTCTCCAACTTTACATCTAGTTGAAAATATTGTTGCACATTACTTTTAAAACCTACAAAATTTGGTCGTACATTTTTACATTTACATAGATAAATATATCTTTTATATATGCAAAAAATTGTGTTTAATAGTATTGATTTTTCGTTCATGATTACTGGACCCAATATGATCGTTCTCGGATCACTTAAAACGGACAGTCCCTCTGGCAACCATTTCTTAATATCACTCAGCAATTTGTTTGCAAATTCACAATAAAGGAGAAGGTGGCCAATAGTTTCGACTTGGTTTCCGCAAAAACTGCAAAGGGCAGAATCTTGGAGACCGCACATATGTAGATATTTATTTGTAGGCAAAAATCTGTGGAGCACTTTATAGTTAAAAGATGCTAGTTTTGGCTCAAAATTACTCACTTTGTTCATAGTATTTATGATATGCCATTCATGATTATTGAGATCAATATTCAGTTCATCGTTCCACTTTAAAATATAACTCTTATTAAAGTCAAGATCCTTAATGAATTCCCAATAGATTGTTCTGGAGATCTTATTTTTTCCTGTGAATTTCAATAGATGCTTTTTGCTATTTGGATAGTGGTCAAGAGTTTTGTCGTTTTCGAATATTGTTTTTGTCCATTTAACTGGTATTGTATTTTTTAGACTTAAGAAGTCTAAAAAATTTATATTTGAATTGAAGCGTTCTTTGAATTCGTTCAGGGTAAAGAATCGTTTGGAATTAAAGAGCATGTCCTTCAGAGTAAGAACACTGTTGTTTTTAATATTTTTGATGGCGGCATTTACATTCTGGTTTTTACTATACATTAGCCAGGTGCAATTCATTAGATACTCCGCTTTCAAATCTGATTTTTGTTCAATTTCATTTTCCTTCAATACAGTATATATTCTAAAAATATTAATAACTCCTTTCCAGAAAGGATTAACAATTTTTGATTCAATTTTCTGAAGTGATTTAGAGTCGTATGAGAATAGTTCTTGCGCGTGTTGAACTCCGATACTGCTCAGTGCCACGGATAGCCACGTACCGTTTTTTGTTAGTTTTTGTAACCAGGTCAGTTTTAAAGATTGTTCAAATATTTGCGGATCTATCATTTTAAGACCGCCATCTTTAAAATCTTGGCAGATTTGACTGAAACTTACCTTTGAAACCGCCGAGTTCCAGAGATACGTTACGAAAAGATTCTTTAATCGTTTATGATATTCAAGAGATATTTTTGGTAAACTCATCATAATATGGACAATTTTAGACAGTGCAAATGATTTAATAACTGTTATTCTCCCAATTAATGATAAATTTCTTCTTTTGTATCTACTAATTACAGTTTGTATCTCAGTTAATTTTACCTCAAGATTATCTTTTTCAATATTTATCAAATCGCTATTAAATTGGATTCCTAATAATTTAAAGGAACTTTCCCATTTCAAGGGTAGATCATGACAGAGTTTTTCATTTGAATTTGCTTTATTACCTAACCAAATGGCAGAGGTTTTTTCGATATTTAATTTAAGTCCTGATGTTTGTTGGAACAGAGAAAAGGTATTTAGACATTTTCTGAGTGAAGCTTCGGAACCGTCAAGGGTGATGAAAGTGTCGTCGGCATACATGCCAATTTTAACATCATGGTCAAAAATTTTCAACCCTTTAACATTTTTATCATTTTTTATATGCTGACAGAGAGGTTCAAGAGCAAGAATGAATGCATAGCAAGATAGAGAGTCCCCCTGGCGGCAGCCTCTCTTAATTTGGAAAAAATTTGAAAAGTGACCATTATTAATAACCGCACTTTCAGCACCATTGTATAAAACTTTGAACCACTTGACAAAACTGTTGGCAAAATTGAATTTAAACAAGCATTTCTCTAAATACTTCCATTCGATACTATCTACAGTAAATACTGCCTTGTGCTCAGGTACAGTACTGACATGACTGTACATGTACATGTCTCTAAAAAATGCACAGCACTCCCCTGGCTATTATGATCATGAACATTCCATGATTTCTCTCGATATTCTCCCATGAGATAGTAGGGTTGGCAAATTAGAATGTTTAGTTTTGACATAAATAGCTCTGTGATGTTGAATATGAAAGGCTGATCTCCCCGGGTTGACATATTTTTCTTCCATAATTTAGAAGTTAGAAAAATATTAAAAATATTGGATTAGTGAAACATTTATAATATATTATTAAGGAGAATGGTATCTTGTGAATAGTGTTCTTTGTCAAAATCTTGAAATTCTGTATAATTTCGTGATTGTGAAATAAGATTTTATTTCAGGAAACGGAATTCATGATATTTTGAGAATGAAGCCACCTTGCTTTCTTTGCTTTAGCCATAGACTCAACAATCAAAATAAATATACATGTACATCAAAATCAGGTATAATTAGATAGTATTAAGTTCCATGACTGATAATTTAAGAGTCTTGTATAGTAATAACAAATGTTTATAATATACTCATATATTGTGAGCAAGCAATATTTTTACATTCCTGATAATTGACCCAATAGCCACCTAGCTATCATAAGGGTGTGAGGAAATTTGAACAAGTTAACACATTAATGATTGCATTTTCTAAATAAATGTGTTATCTGTTATTGTCAAAGTCTGTGACCATATGTATCACTGTCATTGCAGCCATAATAAAATCCAATAATTAAGGATAAGAAATCTATGAATCCAATGTTTTATACAGTATATTTACATTGTATTTATTCTAAATAGTGATCTGTTCTTTTGGTTGATCATTTCTTTAAAATACATAAGATACATTGTATTAGTATTTGTCTAATCTGCTCATAAAAGTTGTATTTTGTATTTGAGTACTTGTTTGTTTTTACTAGATCAAAAATTAAACATATTTAAAGTCTGTTGATTATGTATTTCTTTATGTATTTTTTATTGATTGTTATGTTTTTGTATAACAACAAGTTATCAACCTGTAAAACATAACATTTTTAAAGGACGATTCTCAGTTTGGAGAACAGTCTCCTGGGCTAATAATTTTTTTCATGAAATATATAGAAATATTACCCAAATTAAACTATGAATATTCAAAAGAGGACATTTAAATCTAGAGAAGATGTAAAAATAACAAATTGGTCTGAAGCAGGGATAACGCTCAATTAGACCGATTCAATAAAATACAAGTCTCGATTTGGGGAAAGAAGTTCACCAGTGTACTGCGCTAATATTTTTTTGCGAAAAATCTAGAAATATTACCCAAAGTAAATTATGACTATTCAAAAGAGGACATTCAAATCTATATTATGTAAAAAAATCAAATTTGTCGGAAGCAGGGATAATGCTCATTTAGATTGATGAACTTCGTTCTCCAAACCGAGAATCGTCCTTTAATCTTTTTCCCCTAAATGATTGAAAATTTGACTTAATGGGGAATGAGATGGTGAAGTGGTGTAATCACTTGTCTTGGAAGCAAGAGATCATTTGTTCAATCCCAGTTCATAACATTTCTTGTGGGCGACTGTGCTACTAATGCACTGTGTACAATTCCTAGAGAGTTGCCAAAATATAAAAAATACATGAACAAAAAGATCAATTGGTAGGGTATTGTGGAAACATACTTGTAAAATAGTTTGCAGACATTGAACTTTTGACAACTTCCCTTGTTGAATTCAATTGTATACTGTATATTACAGGGTGGTCAAAAAACAGAATTCCTGCATTTTGCTCATATCTCTCAGTTTAGAAAATTATTCCCTGATGTTTGACAAAGTATATCATTCTGCATGTTCTATTTCCTACCAGCCAACCAAGTTGTCAATGACCCAAATGATTTCTCATGGGCTCAATGACACAGATGATCTACTTTTTGAGGTCCTGGGGTCATTCTCGAACACGAATCTTTGGATTAACCCACAGGTAAAAGTCAGGTAGGCACATTTTGGACGACATGTGCAAGTTTACGTATAGTGGCCACTTGGGTATGTTTTTTAAGATGCTCTAACATAGTAACTATTAGTCTGGTGGTCATGAAATATTCTAGGCTGGTAGAAGATTAAATGATGTACAAATGTACCAAATATCAGGGAGTAATTTCCTAAAATAAGAAAGATCTGATGAAAATAGCCGCAGAGTTTCCGTTTTTTCCACCTTTTGTTACTCATTTAAAGCCGGGTAATGTTATGAAAATTATACTTTGAATGTTTAGTTATTCAGATAGGTAATGGCAGGAAGCTGGTGTGTGTTTGTAATATTCTAGTAAAGGAGAGAACTTGGAGTACACAACCCGAAGTGTTCTTTTGTTGTTACACTATGATGCCAAGGTTACCTAGGTAACAACATGGATTGAGGAAATATGTGTAGCTAAGAATCTTCTGGTAATGTACCCCTGTTTATCAGCAGATGTTTGTTACATTGTCTGTGGTATGTCATGTTGAAAATAATAATAATATCAATGAATATACTGTTCACCAGATTACTAGAACAAATTCATGATTTTGTGCAATTTATTATTGCCATAATAAAAGTGTTTTATTGATAAACATAGATATTGTTTTCAATTAAAATATATGTTGCATTTAGAAGTGACAACGTTATTGACTATGGTCTGGATATCTATTAACTACCCTTTGCATTCGTTCGACTTAACTTCTTAAAAGAGAGCTTCGTCTTCGTTTATGACTAGACTCTGCGCGCAGGGTATCTACTAACTAGAATGAGCTACACATCTTAACATATGAATTCAATAGCTAAACATTGGCAAACGTGTCACAAGCGATCTGTTATTTTCACGTCAGTTTTGACAGTATATCCCTA